AATCAATAATAAATATCATGTTTATAGGATCTCACCCAAACACTTAGGCAAGCCTTAAGTGACAACAAACAAAACTGAACCCGCGTTTGTTAATTAGTAACCGCTACAACCAGCAGGCAGGCCTAATTCGGACTTCTTATCGGAGTTATGTAATAAACTGGTCTGCCTCAACAATTAAAACTCCCCTTGCCTTAGTACTTTAGATTCAGACCCTGACTGTGTTTAAGTCATGCTATTTATGTGCTTTGCTTGAGGAGGTATACATGAGCCTTTTAGTTGTTTACATGTTTCCCCTTTATGTGCAGTCCTATGTGTTTTTGTATGTCGCCTTAGATTTTTCACCTTTTGAAACCTAAAAGTCAGCCTAATATCCCTCCCCTTTAGGAATAGTAGTCCTAAGTTCCTCCGGGACTGATAGGAATGGGACGGGTAATAGCATGCAATAGTGGTCGAGACCAATCCGCGCTTTAATACCTCAATGGGGTGGGAAGGGTAGATATGGATATGAAGGCCGGTGCGCTAATACAACGTGTAGCCCCTCTTTTGAGGAGTAATTACCGGGTATTGCATTGATGTGATCCATATTTTAAATAAACCTAGGACTCCTTTTCTTTTCATTTGCCACTTCTTTTCAAAATCCGCCTTTTAATAATTGCTCTTTCGAACTCTTATGTGTTTAAACTTAAATCCCCTACTATTTGAGCCTATACTTGTCTATTCGCTAAATTTCACAAATTCACAAAAACTGTCTGGCCGGGAACCACAATAGTGGATCCTGAGGGGTGCCTAACACCTTCCCCTTAGGATAACTTCAAGCCCTTATCCTATCTCTGGTTATCAAACAAACTTAGAAGTGAACCTTATAGGTGTCCTAATGCACCTTAACTCATTAGGTGGCGACTCTTCAAATGCAAAACCCATTTCCCAAAAGGAATGAGTTGTCCTATGCCCAAAATGTCATAAACCCGATTTTTCGATGCAAAGAGGGAAAAAGGGGGCGCGACAGCATGGCGACTCTGCTGGGGACATTTAGGCTTTTACCATTTCAGATTGTTCTTGTAAATTTGTACCTCTCCCTATGTGCAATTATCTGTTTAATTCCTTTAAGCATTTAATTTCTTCTCTAAAAGCAAAACTAACATATCTCTCTTGTTTCTTTCCTTTATTGCTTTAAATTATGAAACTGTTGTATTTATCGCTTTCTTAATGTGCAAATACATGTCAACATGCTTTTAATTATTGCATAATCATGCTCGACATCATACTCCACTCGTGTCAAACAAATACCATAGAAACGCTTATAATGAGTGCTTGCGCTATTCCTACATTATTACCCCTAAATCCGGAAAGGCATATTTGCGGTAAAACCAATCGATCAGCGGTGCAGTCGACGGTTCCGTGCCTTCCGCCTTGAGTTGTCCGCTCAAGGGTACCAGTCTAAAACCCCATAGAAACCTTACTCTGTTCAAATTGTGCATGCATCATGGTCAAACCTAGTCGGGTCAGTTATGTTGTCCACATAATGATCCTTTAAGATAGCCTTGTCCAAAATCCATTGGGTTTCCTAAACGCAAACGGACATAACCACGTTCTGTGCATTTATTTGGAGAAATAAATGCTTCATGCTAATTGTTGATATTAAATAGTCGAGTCTTGGTGGGGGAAGGGTCTAACCTTATTTGCCTTGCAGAAATATGAGGCACGAAGTCCCTAGATTCGGCATGGTTACCAATACCCACCCAAAACTGCTAAGCTGGTGGAAAGATCTTTACTCTAGTGATCAGACTCTCGTCAGAAAGTATCTGGGAAACCTACCTTCTCTCTTGGAAAACCAACCCAACAACAAGATCATAGAAGCTGCCACACTGTTTTGGGATTGTGAAAGGGTTGTATTCCGCTTTGGGGACATCGAAATGACACCCCTGCTAGAGGAGATAGGAGGATTGGCCGGTCTAGTCTGGGAAACTTCGGGTCTACTGATGCCTGAGAACCGTAAAAGCAGGGGTTTCCCCAAAATGATGGGTTTAAAGAAGAATCCAGAATTGACATGTCTGAAAGAATCCTACATCCCTTTTGACTATCTGTATGAAAGGTACGGTCACAGCAAATCCTACCGTAACCTACCCTGACGAGTTTGCTATCACATCCTTGGGGCACATTCATTGAAGGGTCTTCGTATTCATGTTTTGTTTCCTGGGGTTGATCGTGTTTCCGATGAAGAAAGCAAGAATCCACACCAGGCTGGCTATGGTAACAAAAACCCTAATGGAAGGGATCGGTGGGCAGCCATTCAGCATCATGCCCAAGATCATTGCTGACATATATCGAGCCTTGGAGAAGTGTCAACAAGGAGCGACACACTTCGGAGGCTGCAATTTATTACTCCAACTCTGGCTCATGGAGCATCTCCAAAGGGGTGAATACCGACAAGAGATTCAGCGAAGGGACTGGGATGACCACATTGCTTTCCATCATCCAAAGAGAATGAATTACATACCAAATATGTTCGCTCAACCAGAAGATGCCAAAGGATGGGTAGAACTATTTGATAACCTAACTGAAGAACAGGTCCAATGGATGTTCGAGTGGTTTCCAACCGAGGAGTTCATCACCCGATCCAGAGATGCACCTTTCCTAATACTGATCGGTCTGAGGGGAACATATCCTTACGTCCCTCTCTGAGTTATGAGACAAGCGGGTAGGAAGCAGGTTATACCTAGGGTCAACAAGATGAGTCATTTTTGGGCTGACTTCCAGAATGATGATAGTCCTTACAAATGCCAAGCTCACCATATGTGGCACTGCAAGATCATAATGGGGAGAGATACTATCGAGCCAGACAGGTATCATGCTGATTGTGCTCCTTTCTACTCAGGTTGGTTGGAAGACAATCATGATGGTCTGGGCCAGCCAGGGTTTGCTCGAGGTCACAGGATTATAGATGAAAGGGCCGAGGCACAGGTCAAGTACAACCAACTGCGCTAAAGAATCCGAGATTACGAAAACGAGCACCGTGAGATACAAGAGTCTAACCAGAAGCTAATTGAGGAATGGAAGGACATGGCTGTCAGTGCCACCAAGCGACTGGGATACTTGGAGCGGGCATAGTGGAGTTAGAGAGAAAGTTTCTCAAGAGGGTCGAAGACTGCCAAAATGCTGAAGTAACCGAAGGCGGACATCTAGCCAGGGCCTACCTATTGCTGGGACTTCGCGAGTTGGGAAAGCTGTTCGACGGAGCCAAGGATGCCAAATCTGGGGAAGGTCTTTCTGGAACCAAGTAGATAGGAGTTTTTCTCTTCACTTTATAAAATGTAATAAGGCCAATGGCCATTAGTGATTTTCATTTCCCATTTATTTAGTGTCAATTTAGGGATTCGTCTATTTTTATCACTAAAGTGAGACATTTAGCATCCTAAGTTCTCCAAATCAATTTGTCTCTAGGCCCACCTCAGTCATAAAGAGGTCACCAAATCAGGAAACAATTTACATTCCCGCACTATGTGTTTAAATACTGCCATACTTTTTACGACCTTCACTGACTTGGTTACCTTTTGTTTTTGTTTTTGTTTTTGTTTTTATTATTCACCTCCCCAAAGGTTAGTTCATGCACTCTGGCAACATCATCCTATTCCACGAGATCCAGGGGCCCTCCACCCACTCCTCCTCTTAGTCCTGTCAAAAACAAGAACAAAGGCAAGATGGAAGATTTGAACAACGTCAGAAAGGAGAATTCAACTGAACGGGTAGAGGCTACTAATGGTCATGGTACTCAGGTTCCTAAGGAAAATGTATCCCAACTTGAACAAAAATTGCTGAAATTCCAGGAAGAGCTCGATCAAGTCCAGAATTTGGCAAGTCTGTCATTTTCCCTCAGCACCCCAGATATCACCTTTCCCAATACTCAGAACCCTACACCACTTCAAAACATCCCGAAGCAACAGAATCACCCCGCTCCTCACACTATTCCACCAAAGACCCAATACAACACCTACCACCTCTCAAATAACACTCCGCTACTCATCCCAGAACTCCAAAATTCCACAAATGACCACTTTCACACCCACCATGACACCCCCATCTACGTGGAGACCATGCCACACTCCACCCAACACATCTCAAGCACACCCGAGTCTAATGATAAAGACTTGATCAGGAACCTGGCTGAGGAACTTAAGAAATTGACTAGCCGGATTCAAGATGTTGAAGGAAACAAAGGAATTGAGGGGCTGAACTATGAAGATCTTTGCATACAGCCCGATGTTGAACTGCCCGAGGGGTACAAACCTCCGAAGTTCGAGATGTTTAACGGTACAGGCGATCCAAGGGTCCATTTTAGGACGTATTGTGATAGGTTGGAGTAGGGAAAGACAAGAGAATCTACATGAAGCTGTTCATGAGGAGCNTTAAGACATACCACCTGTAGCACCATCGATGTTCATGTCCTCATCTCCATTAAATTCATCGTCACCAACTTCATCTTGTGTAGCAAAATTATCCAATTTCTATTTCACGCTCATCAATAATAGGAGAGGACATAAATCTGACTTTCATTTTTCTGGGTGATTATCAGGTATGTTTTTCACCACCGACTTGTATCCCATATTTTTTTAGAAATTGATTAACACTCGTTGACGGTAGGACTAAGTTTGTCTTTACCACTTTGCAATTTTGTAGCTCCTGAATATCAAGTTGTTTCTCTCCTTCACCTTGGGTAACTATTCATAAGTGAAATTAGTAACTTGGTAGTGGTAGGTAACATGCTACAACTTAAATCACAGATATAACTTACTCCCTCCGTTCCAGTTTATGTGAACCTATTTCCTTTTGGTCTGTTCCAAAAAGAATGACCTCTTTCTAAATTTGGAAACAATTTAACTTAAACTTCCAATTCTACCTTAATTAAGAAGCTTTTATAACCACACAAATACTCTGGGCTCCTTTTTGACTTGTTTAAGACCACAAATTCCAAAAGTCTTATTTTTTCTTAAACTCCGTGGCCAGTCAAACAGGTTCACATAAGTTGGAACGGAGGGAGTATATCTTATCCGAAATAATCACCAACTCAAACTCTGGTATACAATGTAGAAAGCAAAAGAAATTCACCTCATCTGTAGTAATAATTGCTTTGATATGCTGAAGTTAGTGAACAAACAGCCAAACAAAAGAACAAGAATTAGATTGCTGCAAATCATAGTAACAAAAAACAGAGAAAGCAATTTAAAAAGAAGTTCACCTCCAAATTGAGTACAATAGCCTTTTCTCTGCCTAAAATTGCAGAAGGATAAGAAAGAAGAGGATCAAGAATACGAAGATCTCTAGCATGTATAGGAACTCGTTTCATAATAGCATACTTATCCAAATCCAAGATACTACTCTCCCCCTTACTGTCCACCAATATCCAGCTTCTTGATACCCCTGTTTTCATCTCCCAATGTTCAAGAAATAGCGATTTTTGCTTTCAAGTTCTTGTACTGTGAAACTCAAAGAAAGAAGAGAAGAGAAGAGGGGAAATTAATTTNTATTTGGTCTGTAATAAGTTGTAATAAACATTGGGGTTGGTTAGTGGAAAGGGTTGGGTAATTATGCATGCTTAACTATTAGAAGGGTAGAGAACATGCCTATAGGACCTGTTTTCTGTATGATTAATTCAACATTTAGATAATATGCCTATAGGACCTTTTTTAGTCTGCATGTTTAACTCTGCATTTAGAGAACCTATCTATAGAACCTGTTTTAAATTCTGCATTTAGATAACATGCATATTGGATTTGTCTTAAATTCTTCATATTTATTACCACACTTAGACACCATGTTCTTAGGATCCAATTGGTTATAATCCGGCATCATGTCCAATAGATTAAAATCAGTACCTTTTCATAGAAATCATGCCTATAGGAATTTCAAGCAAGTCCTGCCTGCTTCGTTTCATGTTCAACTAGATATCATGTCTATAGGAATTAAAATTAGCAATAATAGATATCAATGTCTATAGAATCTGAAACCAGTCTAGTCTAAAATCAGTTCAACTCATACTGTTTTGAACTAATTTTTAAAAAACAACTCTTTCTCTTCTTATTAATACGGTTTAGAAAGCATGTCTATAGGATCTCAAATCGTTTATTTTAGAACTGTTACTGCTTTGCCACATTTTGAATCAGTAATAGATATCATGTTTATAGGAACTCACCCAAACACTTAGGCAAGCCTTAGGTGACAACAAATAAAACTGAACCCGCCTTTGTTAATTAGTAACCGCTACAACCAGCAGGAAGGCCTGATTCGGACTTCTTATCGAAGTTATGTAATAAACTGGTCTTCCTCAACAATCAAAACTCCCCTTGCCTTAGTACTTTAGATTCAGACCCTGACTGTGTTTAAGTCATGCTATTTATGTGCTTTGCTTGAGGAGGTATACATGAGCCTTTTAGTTGTTTACATGTTTCCCCTTTATGTGCAGTCCTATGTGTTTTTGTATGTCGCCTTAGCTTTTTCACCTTTTGAAACCTAAAAGTCAGCCTAATATCCCTCCCCTTTAGGAATAGTAGTCCTAAGTTCCTCTGGGACTGATAGGAATGGGACAGGTAATAGCATGCAATAGTGGTCGAGACCAATCCGCGCTTTAATACCTCAACGGGGTGGGAAGGGTAGATATGGATATGATGACCGGTGCGCTAATACCACGTGTAGCCCCTCTTCTGAGGAGTGATTACCGGGTATTGCATTGATGTGATCCATATTATAAATAAACGTAGGACTCCTTTTCTTTTCATTCGCCACTTCTTTTCAAAATCCGCCTTTTAATAATTGCTCTTTAGAACTCTTATGTGTTTAAACTTAAATCCCCTACTATTTGAGCCTATACTTGTCTATTTGCTAAAGTGCACAAATTCACAAAAACTGTCTGGCCGGGAACCACACTAGTGGATCCTGAGGGGTGCCTAACACCTTCCCCTTAGGATAATTTCAAGCCCTTATCCTATCTCTGGTTATCAAACAAACTTAGAAGTGAAACTTATAGGTGTCCTAATGCACCTTAACTAATTAGGTGGCGACTCTTCAAATGCAAAGCCCAGTTCCCATAAGGAATGAGTTGTCCTATGAGCAAAATGTCATAAACCCGATTTTTCGATGCAAAGAGGGAAAAAGGGGGCACGACAGACGTAAGCCTTCACAATAACCAGGACGTCCCACGGACTTATCTTTTCAGCGTTATCTAATGGGCTGCCGATTCCCATTCTTCAAAGCGATAGTATCGCCGCTGACTCGGTTTTAAATAACGCATTGATTGCATCTGCCAATCCGTCTTTCAAAGGCATTGATGGCATAGTTGGCCATATTATCACCCCTTATAAATGGGGGCCTTCCGGCACTATCTCTTTGTCCAAGTGCCTTTAAGCCTCTTTTCATCCCTTTCTCCCCAATGTTCTCCTCCATTGCTACCCACCATGTTTGGGGTTTATGGCCTTAAGGTTATATGGCGGCGTTCTTATCGGCCACGCCATGGCTTTTTGCCTGGGCTTTCCCTTGCTGAGCGAGATTAAATTGTCTTGTCGCTGTTTTTGCGGTTGTTACTGCTGTCGTCGTTGGTTCGAAGTTATGAGATAGGGGGGCCGACTTCTTCCGACTTAGTGGGACGTTCGGACCCTTACACCGCTGCTCGGGAGAGCTCTAAGCTTTTACTATACACGTACCTTTTTGCTTCTTTTTTTCTGTGTATGGACCCTTTCTGGGCTTTTATAATCATATGTAAGGACCCCTCGTGGGCTTTTGTAATCAAGTGTTTATGAATACAAAGATGTTTCCCCAAGTTTGTCTCTGATGTTTGCTATGTTACCTTTTACTTGCGCTTATGGAAACTCTGAATGCATGATCCCATCGGTCGGTGTCAATATCGAGCCTAGGTGGAAGCATATTTCTCCGGCCTCTGATTGATTAATACGGCTCCCCGTGGAACCCTTTGCCTTTCCTCGGACCAAGCCTAGATTGGACCGATAAACTCAGGTCATCGGGACCCTTACTTCTGGTTGAATGGAAATAACGCTTTGAACCTTTAGACTTTTGAGAATAGTCTCAGAGTGGGGTTTGCTCAGACTCGGGCCATTTGGAAGTTTGTTTTGATCTTATCGTAAATAGCCTTAAGGCATTGCAGGTAGATCCAGAACGAGATTTTACCCGAATTTAGGTGGTACCCCGTGATCAAGACCATATGGGCGAAGCTTAAATGCTTATTTCCTTGGAGCCTAACTTCCTTTAGATGGAGGTCCTCGAGGTCGGGTACCACCTCGGGACTTGCGATGATGCTGTTGGCTCCATAGAGCCTAACTTCTTTTCGATGGAGGTCCTCGAGGTCGAATACCACCTCCGGACTTGCGTTGAGGATGTTGCTGGCTTCCTGGAGCCTAACTTCCCTTTGATGGAAGTCCTCGAGGTCGGGTATCACCTCGGGACTGGCGATGATTACGTCAGCCTCTTGGAGCCTAACTTCCCTTTTATGGAGGTCCTCGAGGTCGGGTACCACCTCGGGACTGGCGATGATTACGTTGGCCTCTTGGAGCCTAACTTCTCTTAGATGGAGGTCCTCAAGGTCGGGTACCGCCTCGGGACTCGCAGTGGTACGGGGATCTTCGTTCCCGAGACATTACATGGTGTCGCCTAATGTATGGTATGGCTGCGAAGCTACCGAGGTGTTTACGCCATCGTATCTTCTCGAAGTGATATCGGTCAGTGTTTTTGGATTGGCTCTTGAGGTAGGCGGACCGTCGCCATTTTTTCCATATATATNAGCCTAACTTCTTTTCGATAGAGGTCCTCGAGGTCGGGTACCACCTCGGGACTTGCGGTGATGCTGTTGGCTCCTTAGAGCCTAACTTCTTTTCGATGGAGGTCCTCAAGGTCGGGTACCACCTCGGTACTGGTGAGGATGTTGTTGGCTTCCTGGAGCCTAACTTCCGTTTGATGGAGGTCCTCGAGGTCGGGTACCACCTTGGGACTGGCGATGATTACGTTGGCCTCTTGGAGCCTATCTTCCTTTTGATGGAGGTCCTCGAGGTCGGGTACCACCTCGGGACTTATGGTGATGCCGTTGGCTCCTTAGAGCCTAACTTCTTTTCNTGGAAATAACGCTTCGAACCTTTAGACTTTTGAGAATAGTCCCCGAGTGGGGTTTGCTCAGACTCGGGCCATTTGGAATTTTGTTTTGATCTTATTGTAAATAGCCATAAGGCGTTGCAGGTAGATCCAGAACGAGGTTTTACCCGAATTATGCTACCCCGTGATCAAGCCCAATGGGCGGAGCTTAAATGCTTATTTTCTTGGAGCCTAACTTCCTTTTGATGGAGGTCCTCGAGGTCGGGTACCACCTCGGGACTGGTGAGGATGTTGCTGGCTTCCTGGAGCCTAACTTCCCTTTGATGGAGGTCCTCTAGGTCGGGTACCACCTCGGGATTGGCGATGATTACGTTGGCCTCTTGGAGCCTAACTCCCCTTTGATGGAGGTCCTCGATGTCGGGTACCACCTCGGGACTTTCGGTGATGCCGTTGGCTCCTTAGGGCAGGCGGACCGTCGCAGTTTTTTCCATATATATATATATAGGGTTGTTTTCGCTCTTTTGGAGATCCCATCCTTCTAAGTAGTTACCCGTCTTTTCCTGCGTTAAGCCTTTCATCATTTCAGTATCAGCGTACTCGCACCGACTCTTTGCTTTAGTTCTCTGAGTTTGCCATCGCCATGACTGTTACATCGGGGTCTGTCGGGTAGAGAGGGGAGAGCTCCGCCTCCGGTATTCGGGACCAACGAGAGCATACCTTGAATATTACTTCTTCGATAGGAGAGAGCATCTTGGGTTAGTAAGAAAAGACTGCGGCTGGGGGAGAAAGTAGTGTTACAGATACTTTTCCCGGATGAGGGCATCACGGATCGTGCCGATGGATTCTTGAATGTGTACACGTATCCTTTCACACTGGGCCCCCTTGATAGGATTGTGCTTGACTTATGTTTAAAGTATCGAGTCACCTTGGCACAGATCCACCCATCATTTTGGCGAATAGTGTTGATGATAAGATTTTTTGCGGAGAAGGCGGGTCTTGAATTCATGCTCAGTCATCTTATTAGGTTGTATCGACCCTTTCACCATCGAGGTCTGCTGACCTTGCGATGCCGGTCGACCACGCCCTTTGTTGTCGACAAGGAGGAAGAAGGAGATCGGGAGTGGATGAGTCGATTTGTCCGAGTTCGGACCGCTGACGTTATCCCCGTGGAGTTTATGCCATTCCCTGAGGAATGGAATCATGCACGTAAGTGGTACATTCCTTGCCGTCTCGATTTTGTTTATGGCGGAAGCTGGTTTCATGACTGTCCCTTCTTTTCTTTTTCTACAGCGGTTTCATGGGCGCCGGGCGACGTTCCAGATCTACCGGGTTGGGTTCAGAAGTTGGCGACCCACTCGACTCG